GCTTTTTCTTTTCTTTCCTTTCTTTCATTTTACACTCTTTCTCTCTCTCTCTCTCTCTCTCTCTTTCTCACACACTTCTTCTTTAGTTTTTTTTTTTTTTTTTTTTTAAAAAAAGCAATCGTTCGTAGGCAATCTCGACGTGAATATAAAAAAAGAAAAGGGTTAGAAAATAGAAATTCTTTGGTCAGGGTAACGCGTGTATTACGTGTACACACTTTTTACGTACGTACGATGCACATCATACGTGGCAAGGTGAAAAAGGATAGGAAAGGAAAGGAAAAAAAGAAGAAAATAGAAAAAAAAAATATTAAAGGCCAGGTAGGTAGGTAGGTAGGTAGGTAGGTAGGTAGGTAGGTGGTATGCGTAGTGTTATCGGATAGGATAGTAAGACTTTTAAACTGTCCGTAGATAATGCTTATCACCTCGATGTTAAGTGAAGTGTCTCTACCGGGTCAACGGGAAAGTAATCTACCCTGTATCCTCCTTTATACGCAGTGACTAAGTAGAACGGATGAGATAAATCAAGTTTACCTTATACCCTACCCTACCCTACCCTATTTTACCTACCCTACCTACTACACCTCCACCACCACCACCACCTATCACAGCTGAGAAAAATAACTATCCAATCGTAACTCAAACTTTTATCGATTAATAATAATAATAATAATAATAATAAAAAACAAGAAGATAAAGAAGAAACAAACAAAAAAAAAATAACATTATTTCATCAATTTCAAACGTACGAGATATCTCATTCGAGAAATCTCGCTCAGAGAATTAAGATAATACAATTGAAAAATTCGTGTTCGATAAAGGTAAAACTCGATTAAAGTGTTCAAATAAAATTCAAACAATAATAATATAATGATGAAAAGTAAAGATTAAAAAAAAAAAAAAACAACAAAAGGAATAGAAGAATAGGACAATTACGGGGAAGGGGGAAGGGGAGGGTTGAGAGGAGATGGGAAGGAGGATGATGACATTCTCGGGAGACCAATTCTCAGGTTAAAGATCTTAAACTTTGGGTGTCAAGTTTAAATTTTAATCGATAGGTGTGTCCGGTGCAGCAGCAGCAGCAGCACACCTTGTCGTATCACCACCTACATGCACTCGTTGTTCTTTCTTTCTCTTGTCAGTTCGTTTCTTTTACTCTCCGGGGGAAGCAAAATTTGAAGAAAAAGAATAAGGAGTATAAGAAAAAAAAAAAAAAAAAAAAAAAAAAGGGGGAAGTAAGAGAGTGAAGAAAAAATTAGACGAAGACAGAGAGTACGGGGGGAGGGTGGGGAGGGGAGGGGAGGGGGTTGAAAGAAAAAGAAAAAGAGTAAGAGAAGGAGAGAAACAGGAATTAACTCTAAACTGCTTTTAATTGCAACGTCTCATATATTATGAGCTTTACTGTAATTCTTCGCCCTCCGCCGACGTTTTACTTCGTTCCGTATCATTTAGCCTCTTGTGCAACAGCATGGCGATCTAATTGCAGTGCTGCTTTACCTTTTCTTATTAGAGAGTAGAAGTAGTAGTAGTAGTAGTAGTAGTAGTAGTAGTAATAATAGTAATAGTAGTAACGGAGTTTCTCGCGGAAACAAAACAAAAAAATTAAAGCACTAAAAAATGAATATACATATATGATATATATGTATGTATATATATTAGGTTGTCCCATAAGTTCTTTCCGCACCATACTATGTATGACTTCCAGCCTACTATGTTCGTAGGACATGCAGAAATAAAAATGTACCACGATGAATATTTTGTTAAGTAAGTCTTAAAAATTGTAGAAATAGGGCATAATGAGAGATGCAAAAAAGGTAATAAGAGCAGAATTGTTCGTATATAATACAGTAAATTAATCTTAAACAATAAATATCGTCTATTGAATTCGTATCAAGAAAAATAAAGGAATGAACTTATGGGACAACCTAATATCTTGCGCGCACAGATGGGAATATATATATATACGCAGGTGGGGTTTCTTTTTTATATTTTTCTTTTTCTCTTCTTTTCTTTTCTTCATCTTTTCTTTTTTTCTTTTCTTATTTTCCATCGATAAAGGAATATCATTACCCATCATCCCTCTTCGCGTAATATCAATTTTACTTCGGTGACGTTACAAAAGCGGTAAAGACACGACGAAGGGGAAAGGGTGTATCGGAGGAAGGGTGGAAGGGTGGGAGGGAGAGAGGGTGGTTCTTCGTCGAATAACGCGCTGTCTCTCCTATCCGATAATAGAAAAGAGGAATAGATCAAATCGAAAGTAGAAAAAGAAAAAGAAAATGAAGGATAGATAAGAAGAAGAAGAAGAAGAAGAAGAAGAAGAAATAGAAATCATACGAAAATAATATATCGAAATGGGACGTTAAAGGACCAAAAAAGGAATATCCTAAAGTCCACATTGGTAATTATCGAAAAAGCGTGATTTTAATTAGATACAAAAATTAATAAAATAAAATTAAAAAAAAACAAACAGAGAGAGAGAGAGAGAGAGAGAGAGAGAGAGAGAGAAAAGAAGAAAAAAAATAGATGGACGAGAAATAAAATTCATCCCCTTTTTTTCAATCATATAAAATTGGAAAAGAACAAAATAATATTTTGTATCCTCTCTTAACTAACACCGAACTACACATATTCACATTTAAAGAAGACACACGACGAACATACACATATATGTTATGTTAGACAAATATATATATATATATATATATACACACGCGTGCGCGCACATACATATTAGACATGTCGGAACAAACCTCTGGGTTCATTAGACTCGACGGTGGTGCTAATTATGAAGGGTACGTCGACGATTGGCTGCACTCGGAATCTTTGTACTCGATCGTTTTCTCTCTCTCTCTCTCTCTCTCTCTCTCTTTCTCACCCCTTTTATTCCTGTTCGCTTATTTTTCTTTTCTTTTCTTTTCTTTTCTTTTTTTTTCCTTTCTTTTCCTTTCCTTTCTTTTTCTACGTTTTTTTTTTACCGAGGCTTTACATAGGACCCGTCAAAAAATACAACAACAACAACAACAACAATAATAATAATAATAATAATAATAATAACAACAATAACAACAATAACAACAACAACAACAACGCGAACGATACGTACGCAGATGCACGAGGGCGAGGATGAGGACGAGGACATAGAGAGCCGCGGATTTTTTTAGTTTACACCCACGCACACAGCACTAATAAAAAAAATAGTTAAAGGCAGAGGAAAATGACGAGGAGGAGGCGCGCGTTGGCGCACGCACGCACGCATGCACCACGCACGCACCCACGCACCCACGCAAAATGATCTCTCTCTCTCTCTCTCTCTCTTTCTGTCTCTCTTCCCCTCCCTTCTAATTCTCTCTCTCTCTTCTTTTCCTTTTTCTATTTATTATTTTTTATCCTCCTCCTCCTCCTCCTCCTCCTCCTCCTTCTTCTTCTTATTCTTCTTCTTCTTCCACAAATTCCTGTGCACCCTCTAGCTCTTTCTCTTTCTCTTGTTTTCACTCGTTCTCTTTCGCCCTCTTTCTCTTTCTCTTTCTCTTTCTCTCTCTGTCTATGTTATCAGCACGTTACACGAGTACACGGTGCGCGAAATAATGGAAGGGAGCGTTATATTTCAGCGTGACGAGTGCCATTAGAATAAGGCTAATCGAACGGGGAATATTATGTTTGGGTTGTCCCTAGTTTTCAACAGGGTGGCGCTAAGCAAGTAGGGCGCAGGCGCAGGCACAACTTATGGTCGAAAACACTGACCTGATTCAATCATTCTCGAGTGAAGGGTAAAAACCGTCTCGGATAAGGTTCCAAAGGGAAGAGAAAAGGCGTATTATGGAAAGCTTGACTTATTCGAAAGAAAGAAAGAAAGAAAAAGAGAAAGAGAGAGAGACGTGGAAAGAAAGATTCAACTGGAATGGCTTGACAAAGCTAAGAATAAGTCAGACGAGGAAAGAAAGAAAAAGAGAGGATTAAAAATGTCTCTAACAAGCCTAACCCCCTAAAAAATCGGTCAATCAGCCCGCCCGTTTTTGCTGACACCGTTTTTTCTTCGTTTCATATATACACCAACAATTTCTTCTTAAACAAACCGAACGAATTTTAAAACGTTTGATAGAGTATGGAAGAAAATTAAAAAAACACAAAAAAAAAAGGGATGAAAGGTATGGAAATCGCGAACGTACCAACCACCCCCGCTCTGTCTGGTTCGTTGCAATAAACTGGGGAAGTCTTACGATTAGTAAACAACGTTAGGCAAACGTAGTAATCTTATATTGGAAGCTTGATTTGAGGACACACAAGAAAAGAAGGAGGAGGATGAGGAGGAGGAGGAGGATGAGGAGGAGGAAAGAATGACGTTTGGTTATAGTCAGTCGATGATCAGATAAAGGGGCACGAATCTATTATAGAAAGCCAGAAAAATGCTAATATCACATTGTACACATAGAGAACTATTACGATTATTATAACGACGATGAGACGACGACTACTACGACTACAACGACGAAGACGAAGACGAAGAAGACGAAGAGGAAGATGATGATGATGATGACAATGATGACGATGACAATGATGATGATGATAATGATACACGCGATCCTACCGAACAACTCACTTCTCTCATGGCGCTGTCGCGCGATGACAGTGGATAAAGTCGACGTCTGGTCAGACGGAAGGGGAAAAAGGAAGTCGCGTCTTTTTTCTTTTTGTCCTTTCTTTCTTTTTTCTTCCTTTATTTGCCTTCCTTGCCTTCCTTGTCTTCCTTGCCTTGCCTTGCCTTCTTTCTTTCTTGCTTTCTTTTTTTCCTTTTTTCGATTGAGAGACTTAACGACGACGAAGGTAAGAAATGAAAAGAGACAGAGATAGTGATAGAGAGGGTAAGGGAGAAGAACGAGAGAGAAAGAGGATCGTCGTGCCTTTTGACATTGCTCGCGTACTCGAGCGAAGCATGCGGGGGTGGCGGTGGTGGTAGTGGTGGTAGTAGAAGAGGATCGGCTACCACCGTTTTGCTGGTGTCACGAGGTCACGACGTCAAGGAAGTAGGTCAGGCGAATTGTGTTTCGGACATACACGAACAGAGAGAGATTCCAATTGGACACGAACGAACTAACGCGAGATGTACGACGACCGATGAAAGAACGAACGAACGAACGAATAGACGACGACGCGATACCACTGAGCCACTTGTTTTTTTTTTTGTTCTCCTTTTACTCTTTTATCTTCTCTCCCGAAGGGGCTAAGGACCTAACCGCGACGAATTAGGAACGGGGGATGGATGGGGATATGATAAATATGTATACATGTGTGCGTGCTGCGTTTCGTTCCTTCGTACGTGCCTGCCTGCGTGTGCGTCTGTCTCTGCATCTATGTATTATCCGTGTATAGATAAATGTACGAGAGATGTATGTATGTATGTATATGTATAGATGTATATGTATATACGTAAGGTCTATATGCATGTATGATAGGACCGATAGCGCAAAAGCGATGCGTCAATGAATATAGAGAAAAAGGGATGATTGCGTACCTCTCTTGCCATTACGTCATATCCCTGCAGGTAAGGGACCGTCCCAGCAAGCACACTTATTCAGAGAGAAAGGAGTAAAGGTGCACGTCGTCGCATTATCGTTGCGACGGGATGCTGCTCGTGCGGTGCTCGCTATCCGCCCAGCCTTGCGCGCTCTTTCTCTCTCTCTCTCTCTCTCTTTCTCTCTTTCTCTCTCTCTCTCACACACTCTCTCTCTTTCTCTCCTCCACCTCCTCCGCCTCCTCCACCACCACCACCTCCACCCCTTTCGCTCACTCCAGGCTCGTTCTTCTCCTTTTGCCACACACCGAATCACCGTAGGATGCGACACCGTGCTCTCCTCTCCGCCCCCTCAACTCAGTCCCCCCTCTCCGTCTTTCTGTTAGACCCCCTAGGCCACCCACCCTATTTCTCTCTCCTTCTCTTTCTCTTTCTTTCTCTCTCTCTCTCTATCTGTCTCTCTGTCTCTTCTTTCGGTTCGCGTTCCCCCCTATTAACGCGCCGGTCATACGCGAGCAACCACCGAGCGGCGGGTACAGTTCATTCTTGAGCAGCTCGCCATACGATTACTCGATCTAAGATTTCACTAGCGCATATGGGTGCAAATTGTAACAGTGGCTTCCTCCCAGCGGTTACTGCGGCGACTCCTAGTTTTAGATCGATTCTCTCTCGGTGTACGTACGGACGTCCTACCCTCTCGCCCTCCCTCGCCCACCCTCGCCACCCTCACCCTCACCCTCACCCTCTCTCGGACTCACCCGCAACAACCTCGCCCCACTCGCGCTCGCTCTTGCCCGACTACTCCGCCAGCTCTCTCTTCCGACTGCTTCCTCGTTCTCCGTCGTTCCCTTCCTTTCGCCCTTCCCTAACCATCTCTTCCACCACCACCCACCCCCCATCCCACCCCGATACCAAACATCCCCTCGCTTCCTACCATCCCTTTTCATTCTCACCTACAACCGTTGGCTCCCTCTCTGTCTACATTTTATTTTATTTTCCTGGCTTCTCTCTTGACTCATCTCGTGTCAGGTTAATGCTTTCGCGTAGCTTTTAGTTAATAGTATTTTTCTTTTTTTTTTTTCTTTTTATTCGTAGATAAAATATATCTATGTAATGTATATTAACAGAAATGTAACATTTCAATATTAATCTCAAGTCGAGATCCTTTATTAGAAGGTTCGACCCAATAGGGGTTGAAAATTTGAATAAAAAATATTCCCGCTTCTATGGCAACGCCATCTTTCAGGAAAAATGTTAAAGTAAAAAGAGCTTCGGCCAACGGCCATTGGTGGCGTACGTTAAATCGTAAAAATCCCCGATTGTTTCTGATCTTAAAGGTTTTCTCGAATGTAGACGAAAATGAAAGCCTAATGCGGTCGATGTCGATAAAAGTGCGTGCGGGAGAAAATCGTTCGGTATTATACCTTGCCTTTGGACCGATTTTTTTTTTTTTTATTTTTTCTCTTCTACTCGTTAACACAATCCCTAACACTATTTCACAAACATACGAGGAAGTGGATCTTTCTTTAGAGTTTAAATAGAGTAAAAGAAACAATGTCCCGATTTATGATTATTATTACAAAGTGATAATATAACAAAGTATAAGACAAAATTATACGGGAAATTATTATTGGTATTTGAAATAAAATAATTGATCTTTGGCTGGCTATTAATTTGATGCTGAAGAAGATGTCGAGTTGCGCGACGAAGTGTTGAGATAAGTTTAACCTTTGTACGATATGCAGTCTATTTATTGGACCGGGAGGCTGTTGTCTCGTGCGATATGGAATAGCATATCCAATTATTCGGCATGTGCTGATCCCAACGTTAACAAACGACGCGAAGCCTCATTCATTTCAGCTGTTTGTGGCTTCCCCAAGGATTTTGCGCGAGGTCGTGTTAGGAAAGGACAATTTGGAGATGACGCTTGGTTCACTGCCAAATTCAAGGCTGTCGAAGTAATTGGTATGTTTAAACGAAAACCCTTCCACCCTTCTTACCTTCCACCTTTCCACCCTTCCTTCTAGTCTTCATCATTCATCATCATCATTGCCCCTAACATCGTTAAACGCTAAATAAACGTGACGTTTATTGTTGTATAACCACCCGTTAGAAATCAAATACCCTTTTTTGCTTTCGCAATAAAACAATTTATCACTAAAGTATTTTACACTGAACTTTTAATCTCTTTCTTTTTAATTCTTTTTCTTTTATTTAATCCTCCGCTACGGATGCGAAAGAATTTTTCTCTCTATCGCGAATTGAACTTACGCACCTCACGTGCTGGAGATAACATTATTCGAAACATTTTATGCAACTCTCTGTTAACTTCTCAATTATTAGCGGAATAATAGAATTCTTTATTGTTCTTATTTCGCATAATGTTTCGTTTATGCGTTTTATATGTCTTCTTACAAAGTTGTTCAGATACTGAACAAGTCCCCCTACCCCCATGCCTCATCCCATCCTCCTACTCCTTTAACTTTTACTACTCCAGTTAATTTTTTAAAAATACAACATGTGATTTATTAGGTGTAGCCGATGGTGTAGGAGGATGGAGACACTATGGAATAGATCCAGGCGTATTTTCCAGTTTTTTAATGAGCACATGCGAAAGGCTAGTCTCAATGGGCAAATTCAAGCCTTCTGAACCAGCTGGTTTATTAGCACGTAGTTACTATGAACTATTAGAAACTAAGCAACCAATTTTAGGTAATCAATGATTTTAAATGTTTGTACAAAAGGAATAATTGTAAATACATTTAATGACTCATTGAAATAATTCTTATGTAAATGTATGTTATCTTTAGGTAGCAGTACTGCATGTGTTATTATTCTTAACAAGGAAACAAGCAGCATCTATACGGCAAATATAGGAGATAGTGGTTTTGTAGTTGTGAGAAAAGGCGAAGTCGTTCATCGTTCTAATGAGCAGCAACATTACTTTAATACTCCGTTTCAATTATCTCTCCCTCCTCCGGGTCATTCTGGTCTTGTACTCAGTGACAGGTATACCATTAGAATTATTTTCCTATATAGTGTAACAATAATTTTGTATTTTTAATTTTTCTTTTTGTGTTTCCTTTTTTATTATAGCCCAGAATCCGCAGATACTTCTAGTTTCGGAGTAGAAGATGGAGATGTAATACTATTAGCAACAGACGGTGTATTCGATAATGTGCCTGATCAGTTGTTAGTCACGGAGATGCGTAAAGTAGAAGGAGAAAGGGACCCAACAAAGTTACAGGGTGTTGCCAATTCGATAGCTTTTATGGCTCGTAGTTTAGCTTTCGATGGGGCATTTTTATCACCCTTTGCCCAAAGTGCTAGAGAAAATGGTATCGACGCAATAGGTATCTATTATTTTATATTTTTCTTCTATCTTCATTAAGATTATTTCGTAGAATAGATACATGAAACTAAATTTTTTCATAAATAATCCGTTATTTATTATTCTATGCTTATGCAACAAATATTTATACTTTCTTATGGTAGAGAAACATTTTATTATACACAGTCTAAATTACGACTAAATCAGTTATTTTTCTTAGGTGGTAAACCTGACGATATCACGGTGCTCTTAGCAACAGTGGCAATCTGATATGAAAAAGTGTATGATAGATCGTTAATCATTGTATTATAGTCCATGTCATTGCATATATGTATCACTAGATGATACATCATTATATTCCATTATAATGATCATCTATTATTTAAATTTAAATAAATAGTTTTATAAATCACCTCATATATATTTACGATATCAGTTTCTTACATATTATCATAAAACATATATTCGGATGGAAATTTAAAAGAAAGAAAAAGTGTGTATATAACAAGTACATTCAAATTTTAAATTATCGATATTTTTTGTTCAATTATTTTTCGAGTAAAAACGTGAGAACAAAAATACGAAATAGGGATGTTAATCATGAGTGTAGTATACAGTGGCTTTGTATAGCCGACCTTTGTATTCACTTGTCTCTTGTAAACTCATAGATTTCCTAATTGAAGTATGTAACTTTGCCTTGTTTCATACTTTGCCTGATCGATATAATTATCTCATGAATTAATGGACTTTACAAAATAACAGTAACATATATAATAATGTATAGATAAATATATTTCTTATTATAACGAAAAGAGAATGAAAAACGTTTCAAAGTAAAGGCTAAATTAAACATATTATTATATTATATTTGAAAATTTATAATCATAATATTTTGGCTTCTCACAGATAGAAATTTAACTCTAACGACACAATAATGAGATCAGAAATCAAATTTATGTAAATTATGAAAAATGCATTATTTTTCTTTAACAATTTGAATACATCACAGTGTTTTTATAGGAATATTTAAAAATAAAAATAGTTAAGATGTAATGAACAATTATTTGGCAATAAGTAGCTTACAAAACGATTTAGTAAATACTTATTATTACGCTTATAAAAAATGGCTTTTATTTTGTTTTTTGACGTACACAAAAATTTATTACTTTCAAGTGAGCATCAGTAATGACTACCGTTTGTAGGAACAATTGTTAATAACGTATATACTACAGATTAAAATTGATAGTTCCTATTTTTATGTACACATTGTTAAACATATTTTGTATTTATCAATGAGTAGGTTGTGTGTATTTTATTGATAAAAATTCATATTAGTAATCAGACTGATATTCATTATTGTGTAAATGCATATTCTAAAATAATTATACGAGCATAGATGATTATTTCACAATATTTTGTCCATATTTCAATATCGTGAATCATGCGTCCCTATTTTCATTTATTTCTATTATTCATTTAATAATATTAAATGATGCAATCTCATTGAATATAATGTCTTGGAAAAATTTGTTATTAGAAATTTGTTTACTGATCAGAAACGTTTACTTCTGTGATGTATTCTGTATATTAAATCCTATTATCATAAAGTTTTTTTACAATATGACATGAAATAAATTGATATAATATCTAGATTATATCTATGATACATTATAAGACACATAAGATAAAAAAGAAGATATTATTATGATAAAACATTGTTAGTAAAGATTGATAATTTTGTTTTTTTTTTTACAATCAGGGGTTTCAATTTTATTATATTGTTCTTTTTAAAGAGTTTAATAATTGTCACGTAAATAAATGTTATCGAGGTTCAGTGGAATTGAATATTCTACTATATATACAGTTTGACTGGTATTTTTATTTTAAAAGTAACAACGGATTAATAATATTACTAATTCATTTGGTAACGATTGATTTTTTTTTATTGTAGTAGAATAATAATTATGAGAATATGGGTAATGTATCTAGTCCAGAGTTATATTAACATTTAAAGATAAGTATAAATAAACTTAAAATAATATATATGTAGTGTCTCTTCACTTTACATTTAATCGATTTGTACTTTGGAATTATTTACGTTATTACTAATTATTATACTACTATAAATAAATGCTTCCACCAAGATATTGTATCACTACAAATAATTTTTCAACATTATTCTTGATCTCTTTGCTTTCTATATATAATATATATATTTTAACTGAACAATTAATTAATCTGGTGTATAGAGACAATCACAATTCATTAAATGAAAACAAAATTGTAACCCCTGGTAGCAGATGGAAGTTATTGTAATACAATCAGTATATACGCGCGATAGATATTTCTCATATCTACCATTTATGTTCAAATTGCTTAATCTTTGTTAGTAAAATAGTAAAAATTGAAAAAACAGAATTCAAATTTCACAAATGTACAGAGAAATTCATTGATTTACTTGATAAATTATCAATTAACAATGGATGGCTCATGGAAATAGGGAGATGAAAAAGAATTATAACATATCTCCTTGACCCCAATTGAAACCACCTGGTCGATCTTCAGGTGGCGGAGTGTAATCTGGATCTTCTGGATGTGCGTCAAACAACGTTTTTCTATATCAAATAAATAGTATCAAGCAAATAATATATTTTAATATTAATGTAATATAATGAAATTAGAATTAGTTAAATTGTTAAGAATTCAAATTCTTCGTATTGCCACACTTACAATATTTGTGGAGTTTTAAGAATACGAAAACCTCCCCTTATTTGTGGAAATACATCTTCAGCAAAATAGTACGTATGCCCTACAGCCATCCCAACAAGATCTACCCAAATAGCATTACCTAGGAGTACAGAAAATCCGAGAAGTACCCAAGGCAGATATGGCGCCTAAATCAAAATTAATATACCTTTAATAATTATTCTATTTTATTCTCCCGTTAGAGAGACAATATATATACCTGAAAGTTTAGAAGTCCAAAAAAATTCATTCTAACAAATGGATTACGTCTCGACCATACATAGACCAACATGATTGTAAATGCATGACCCAAAAACAGTAAGTTAACAAAAAACCCAAATGTCTGTTATTGTATAGGAACTATAATGTCGCATCGTAATGAAAAATGATTGAAAATTTCATGAGTTTTTCAAGTTTTTAAATGAAAAGGATACAATCATACATATTGCCCCAAAAATAAACATCATTACAAAGTCAGCTGTCCTTCTTCGAAAAGATCCTTCTTCTAACATTCGACAATATCGGTAGGTAAATATCATATTGAAGAAAAAATTGAAGCCAACATTCCCAAAGAATAAAAATGTTGTTATTAAACGCCATAACTAAAAATAATGACGAATCTTTTAAGTACTCATATTCTTGATGCGCACCCAAAACGCTTATCCTTCTCTTTTGATCATATTTATAAAAACAAATAAATGTATTTACCTGATATTGTTTTATTATTAAAATAGGATTGAAGTAGAGTTGAAACGGCGAAACTAAATCTAATTGCTGAAAGGGATAATAAAGTCCTATAACCTCATTATCCAATGTTTCACAAATAATAATAATATGATATAACACGTGTAAGAGCTTTACGAACCACGGCAAGAGTAGTGATGACACAAGCTGTAGTATAAGCTCGTGTTACCACAGGCATTTGCAGGTACTCCTGCCGAAATGTTTGATAGGCCATTGGTGTGTCAAACTTAGAAGTTTGATGATTCTAACACCTTACGACCACTTTGTGTTTATTTCTCCCAACTACGTCACCCCCTTGTTCCTTTTTAGTATTCTTTCTCCATTACATGATGTTCAACAACGCTGGGTTATCTAAATTTTATCGCTGTCCACATCACGACGAATTTATTACGTACATACAAAATAAAATTGTACACGTAATACGTGAAACTCGCTACGTTTCCGTTAAAATCAACTCGCTATAGATTTCGATTATGCTTCAAATATATCGATAACAATTGTAAACTCATCTACATCCACGAGTTCATCGATCAAGTTCATCGAGGCAAACTTAATCTTATCGTCCATTCACCATTTAACACGACTCATCCCAATCGTGGACCAATCGACGTGTTGCATTACATTTACCACCATATCGATATAAATTCTGATTGGTCGATAACATCAATTGTAACTAACTTGAGTAAAACATTACTATCAACGTATTGTATTTTACAAAATATTAACATGAAGTTGGTTACGCTTGACAACACTTTTCGAGAAAGCATAGAACATTTATCTTTAGTATTTTATAATAGTTACATTTGTCGATTTAATATTGCCTAACCTAACTATCGATTTCATAGCCAAGCAAGATAGACTTCGATAGAAAGTATGCGATTGATTGTTTCACTGTGAATTATTATGAACACTTTCAAGCAATTATTTATTATTACATTTATGAATTAACTATCTTCTTTATTTCATATTTGAACCATTGTAATAACAAATGGTTTAATAAATAATATTACATGATAAAGAATTAATTAAAGCGTTTACAAGAGACATGGTTTTAACTAAAGAATATCGAATATGTATGCCTCTAACTACAGAAGAGGTAAAGTATTTGTCCATGGTTTATAAATATTTTTGTATTATTAATTTTAATCAATGTTTTTTTTATGCAGTATCGTATTGGACAACTTTATATGATAGCAAGACATAGTCACGAACAATCAGATTCTAATGACGGTGTTGAAGTTATTGAAAATATTGAATGCGAAGATCCTGAACATGGAAAGGGTCAATATACAGAAAAAAAAATTCACCTGTCTAGGTAATTAAAAAATTATTCATTAAATATTCTTATTTCTGACAAATACATGCTTAGGTTGAAAAGTTTTGAGCCTAATGTATAAAACTTATCAATTTCTATTCTCCAATATTCCGAATTATTATTATCTCTTCATTATATTTCAGTAAACTTCCTTATTGGGTTCAATCAATTATACCAAAAATATTTTATGTCACAGAAAAAGCTTGGAATTATTTTCCATTTACCATGACAGGTAAATACTCTCTTTATATTCGTATACCGTTAATTACTTTTTTTTGTTTCTCTTAAATAATAACTTATTGTTCAGAAAATCATTTGTGTTAATGCGTTTATTTTCTTTTGCATTTGCATGGATGACGCGACTGTAGTATATACTGTAAGTATTAGCATTTGAAATAAGTTAAAACATTTATTGTTAACAAATTGTACGTTTTGCAGTGTTCCTTCATGCCTAAATTTAATGTATCGATAAAAACCAGATACGAGGATAACAATGGTTCTACGGAAAATGTATGTACTTTCTTTTATTAATTTATTGTAAAAGATCATCCCCCATGTTTTTAACGTTAATTGGCATAAAGTTTGTTAATATAAATTTGAAACAGTGTTTAGGTTTATCTCCAATCGAACTTATACATCGAGAAGTCGATTATATTGATATTGCTTACGACGAAATAACTGCTAAACATTACAAAGAAGAAGAGGTATAATTTATACACCACTATAAAACGATATTACAATTTCTACGATACAGGAAGATTATCATATTAATATTATATTTCATTAATAGGATCCAAAGTTTTTCCAATCAAGAAGAACGGGTAGAGGTCCACTAGTCGAAGGTTGGCGCGACAATGTACAACCGATTATGTGTTCCTATAAATTAGTTAATGCTTCCTTCGAAGTGTGGGGTATGCAAACTCGGTTTGAAGATTTTATACAAAGGGTAATTCATATTTATTTTCTTGTTAATTTATTTGACAATACAATTTGCTATATAAATGTTTTATATATATTTGTATGTTAAAACAGTGCATAAGAGATATTTTACTATTGGCTCATCGGCAAGCATTCGCGTGGATCGATGAATGGTACGACATGAATATCGAAGATGTTAGGAAATACGAGCAGAAAATGCATGCAGAGACTAATGAAAAAATGAGAATGAAAAATGAAGCGAATGAAAATTCACCTAAACCGGCAACCCCATCATCTTCGATTCCTTCGTCACCTAAATCACCAACGCAATCAAATCGATCGTGGTTTTCGTGGTCATAGTGGATATTTTCAAACAAAAGGTTTTATCCCCTTTCAACCACATTACTAGCTTGATCCTGTAGCTACAGTACAAATTGTGCAAACAACCCCTTAGCATTTTTATGTACATGTGTATATATATACTACATGCTTCAAAGATATTAACGAGTTATCATAATTGTTTTAATTACGATAGTAATCTGTCAAATCTCAGAGAAATAGTATTTTTCAGCACTTATATTTAAAATGAAGAAACATCTTCTTTTCTTTCTTCTTGTGTTTTTCTTTTTTAATTTTGTTTTAAATTTTGCACAAATATAATGTAATGACTGTTGTTGTTGACGATATTGAAAAAAGAATTTAATTTAAAATATGTTACGCTTTCCGTAATTTTATTACGAAAAAAAAAAAAAATTGTAATATTACAGAGATTATTTGCAATGTTTACGTTCTAAACCAAATTTATATTTTCTTTTGATAGATGTAGAATGATATGTGTTCATTGGATTGCTACTTAAAACATACAAGACTTTTTATTGTTATTACCGATAATTGTTGCATCGTCATTTCCTACATTGTAATAGAGAAATCAATGTCTAATTACTATATACAAAATTTGCACAGTAAAGATTGCATAAGCAAATGTAAAACGTTGAGTAATTTTAATCTACATTTAAAATTTTATTTTCTTTTTATGATATGGAAAATTAATAATTTATCATTATTGCATTTTGTTGGGACCAAATATTTCAAAGTAATCTTGAGTTTTGGAAATCAATGTTTTTAAAATAACATGAATGTGATTATAAATTATGAAAGAATTACGCCAGTGCGTATTTCGTATTATTATATTACATAAAACTGGAAATGAACGTCTTTTCTTTTTATTCCAATCTTTTAAAACATTACCGTCCGATTTATCGTTTACTATAAAAATATTTATGTATTATCTTTAATAAATTGAAATAATTTAAAGGAAATGAATAATACTTATTTAGCAATATAGCACATGCATATTTTCCATTTAATAATAAATGATAAAACAGTACTCACTGTTACCGACAGTGTGCAGCTCGATCGATAAAAGAAGGCTCCATTATTACCTACGGCTCGGTCGGAAAGTAGTATTCTACTATTATCGATTCGGTCGATAAACTGTACTCTACCTTACCGATTATATTTTTAAAAATCTATTTCATTAAGTTTGCATCTTCTTCTTTAAACAAAAATTCACGATATTTGATAAGAAAGCAAATAAACATTTTTATTTTAAAATATTATTAAATCATTAATGGTTTATATATGTATTGCAAAAAAAAAAAAAATTTGTATTTATCATTTAGAACTAAACACATATGCATTAAATTTGTTAGGAAATCTTACTCTTCGCGTGTTCACGAAAATTCTAAACGATATTATTAGCTAATGTATATTAAATAGGAGAACGGTTTAAAATAAATTAACTGACAAAGAAATTTCAAACGTTGCTTCTAATTTGTCGATTGGTATGTGAAATAAGTGGATGCAATCTGTCAGCGGTAGGCCAATGTAAAGGTGCAGTAGCAAGAGTATGAGCCATTTCTCCGGCATTAACTGAAAATAATTAGAATTAACTAAAAATAATCAATGTATAAAAATGATTGTCATTTAACGTACACCGATTGTAATTATCAGTGAATCTAATAAATGGACATAACACAGGTAATTCAGCTAATGTTGTTGATTCTTCCGATTGAGTTTCTTGTTGAATTTCCTAAATTAATAGAGCATATAGAATTGTTTAGAAATTCCAATAAGAGAATAGAGAATTCAATGGATTGTCAATTACATTTTGATTATTATCATTGGGTCTTGAGATAGTGGTCGATTCAAAGCAACGATTTTCATTAATTCGTAATTGTTTTGGTGCTTCGGTAATTAACTCGTTGAATCGTGCAGCAACTTGTTTCCATTTCATTAAATCGATTGGCTATTAAATCAATCGAATATATCATAATAATAATATAATAATAAAAATGAATATAATAATCTTTAATTTATTATTATAGGATCAATTATTCATATTAATCAAAAGATTTTACTTTTAACGCGAAGAATACAGGTAAAAGAGCTATGGGCAATGGTGATCCTTGTAATTCTGTTCTTTCTGAAGGTGGTCCAGATAGTGTCAGATATCTTATTAAATTTAGAAGATCAGCTAAAAGTTCGCTATGTCGACCACTGATATCTTGTCTTATTAAACCAAGAGCATCTCTTGCTACTACTCCTGCCGTTACTCCTGGATTATCGGCTAATTAATACATAATAATATTCATTATTTTATCTTATTGAGTTACACGTTTCTTAACATTATTAAAAAAACTTCTTACGAAATGTTCGTAAACTCATTTTAATTAATTGCAAAACGAGGATGATTTTTTGTTCTCTCATTTTTTTTATTTTTGCTGACGTTACAATGTTGAAATAATATGCAACGTTATTATTATTTGTAAAACACGACTGCTGATTGTAAATCGAAGTATTTGGAACGAGGAATTCGAATTATTTCGTAAGAATGTTTTATGGATTTTGGCTGATTGTTCATTTTCTTTTTTTCCTTCATTATTGGTAGAACATAGTTAACACTAAACCTACTGCGTGTGGTCAAATGACCGCGTTTTTTAATTTGTAATAAAAAATGCATAAAATGTACATCATTTATATTTACAATTAAAAGAAATTATTTTCTTTGTTATATCCAATTGTATTGAAATCTCATTTTTTTTTTATTAAGATGTATGATATTTTTTTTTTAAAACGAATTGTCGGTAGGTTTAGTATGTTCAAATAAAATAAGATGAACGCGAATGAAAAGAAAAATGAAATAATTAAAAAAATAAAAAGATTTTGTACGGTCAAGCGATATGAAATTATTTAAAGAAAAGGTCTCCTTTTTTTTCTGTTTTTTTTTTTTTTTTTTAAAACTAATAACCCAAAATTAATTCCTGAACGTGTTTCGGTATGACGGGTTTCTTCAGACGAGTTAAAAAAAGTTGCAAAGCGGCGGCGCATTCCAAAGCAACGTCATCCCCTAAATCCAATTGCGGTTTTTCTCCTTTATTTAAACAATTGAAAATACGACGTCTGAATTTACGACGCCCTGATCTACGAAACAGACCTTCCTCTCGTGCGTCTTCAAAATAATACGAAATTATTTCACCAATTTTTTTTTGGTTTTTGTTTTTTCTTTCTCTTCTTAATTATTTTACATAATAATTTTACATCGTAACGAACGATCGATCGATCGAATATTTACGTTCTTTCAAAAAGTTAATGATTTCTTTGACCACCAATAGAGATTTCTTCGATATTATATCATCCCCCGTATCCTGCCTGTATTAATAAACAATTATTTATAAATTAATTATTTTATATTATAAACTATATATATTAAATATTGTCATTCACAAATAATGTTCCCTGACAAGATTAAGTCAATGATATTTTGTATTTAATTTTAAACGAACACAATTATTATATTAATAATTATTAAACGATACGATTCTAATTATTAACAAAATCTCAAATAATAAATATTCGTATCGCGAAACACTAACAGTCATAAACAATTATCCCCATTATCTCGAACTAACCCCATTAGATCACCTATTTTCGTTTCTTTCTCTCCCTTTTTTATTTTTATTTTATTTTTATTATTTTTTTTTCTATATCGATCACATACACAACGTCCCATTCTTCTTAACGAAACGATCATCATCCAGAGATATCGTTCGATGTACCTTATCACATATTCATGAAGCATACGTTTTGATAATCTAATCGGGAAACAGATTAGCTGTGTGCTGTATTGCGGTTTAGCACTATTTCGAACAATACCGCGTAATACCGCGAATTCGTGAATAATTATCTTTGACACGTACAATCTAACGGCTATAATAGATATGGGAACGTGGATTTAACAAAAAAAAAAAAAAGAAAACCCCTGAAAAAAATGCACAAAATCATTCCACGTATTTACTCATTGACCAACGAAATTGTTATTACCGGAAGTGTAATAATAAATATAAAAAAGAAAGATGAAACAGGATGGAACGTTACGACAAATAATATTTTATAATTAACGTATAATTATAATAATCTCGGAAGTATTGAAACAAGAAAAACAAAAAAAAAAAAAAAGAAGAGAAGAAACGTGATAAATCGTCTTTATAATTAATAATAATTGCCCAACTGTATCGCGGGAGAGAAAATATATATATATCCAGGAAGAAAATGGAAAAAAAAAGGAAATATTTCCGATTATAATAATAATAATACAATAATGTCGAATACGAGCTTATAAAAAACGTCCATAATCAATTTGCCCATAGTTAGACAAGTAATGTAAGTAATATGACGAGGATTATTAGGATTTTCGTAAGGACCATTATTATTTTAGCGTTGGCAAACATTGTTTGCGGATCGCTTAATTATTTTTCGTATTACGGTAGAACAAGATTACCGAGATATGCTACTTGTACTTCTTGCAATCGAGAATGGGCAGACGCAATATTATCATCTCCCTGGTAAGATAATTAATACTAAAATTAAAATTTAGATAATAAACTCTTTTGTTAAGTTACATGACTCCTATATGGGTTAATTGGTTGTACATACCACGAACAGGGCTTTGTATATGGGTCGCTACTTAATAGATTTAAATAATATAAAATGTAAAGGAAAAAAAAAATCCTATATTATTGTATTTATTAATTCATTAAGACTAGAATAAAAATGTGTTATTAATGTGTTCGTTTTATGCAACTTGTATCTAGATACCGGTGGATCAATTATAGTAAAGATAATAATCATTAATAAATTTTTGTTTAGGTATCCAGAAGAAAATTATGACGAAGTACCAATCGACAAAGAATTTATGGATATCAGTGAAAGATCCTATAACGAACAGGTTAACCCTTCATCAAGCCTAATATCAACCAATTTGGATTCCCTTAACAAATATGAACATCCATCGATAAAGGGAAATGACTACGTTCCTCCTACATTATATTCAGATAGAAGAAAGTTCTATCAAAGGGATGAAGATACCTTTGAAAATGGAGAACCCACTAAGTTCGATCCTTATTTAACTTCTAAGACATCAACCGGTTCATCCAAACAGGAAGGAATACTAAACCAATATTCTTTTATGCTGAGACCTAAATCAGACAGTTATGGAAGATCGTTTAATCGTAACTCTTATCATCAATTGCCACGAAAGTTTTCCGAATTTGACGATCAACGAATACGAAATCTTGAGAACGAGAAAGTGTATAATAAAATTATCGATAGATCGAATCGATTGAACAATGGTATTTATATGAATAAAAAAGTTCCATCATTTTTCAAAGAAAATGACAAGGAAGATTATTATAAACCATTGAGAAAATTTACAGTAATTTATCGTGCCGATCAAGATCCAAAAATGTTCGAACAGAACGATGATAAATACGATCTCACGGATTTGTTTAAGGAATCTAAAATTCCTGAAACGTATGAGGAATCTTCCGACGAATCTATCCTTAACTTCGATTCAAATTCTTATTTAACACGCAATCCTTCTTATTCTTCTTCTTCTTTTAGAGATAAAATAATCTATAACAATAATAATAATTGGTTTAACAAATTATCTCCAAACGATTATATAACGCGTAATTATTATAATAATATGGGAAAAAAATCAGACGTATCGAAAATTATCGACAGAGATAGATTGTTATCGGATAGAAAAGAAATCGTTTCGTTTCGTCAACTAGATCATGATAAATCATCGGAAGGTGTCATCATCGGTAACGATAAGGATTACAAAATGAAAGTATCTGCGAAAAATGGTGGCCATATTTTAGGCCAACATGATATTATTAATAATGAGGAAGAAAAGTTACATACTATGCAAGAAACGCCAGTAAAGATCTTCAACGTGGATGATGATGATAATGATGATGATTCTTCTATCAAGGAAGAAAATTCTTTCAAGTTTGACCCCGATTTTCTAGATGATATTGAATATCCTTATGCTGAATTTACAGAACCAACTCCCACGAACGAATCCACAGAGAGCCCAATGATGACAGAGAATTGATGATGATAATAATGCGACTACTCCCCTTGTGCATAACTTTTTTTTTTTTCATTCCCCCTACATTTTTCTTACCATTTTTCTTGCACACTCGATTTCAAGATTTATAAGTCATAATTTTTTGAATGTATTGTACTTAAAAAAAAAAAGAAAAAGAAATGTTATTATTAAATAAACTTAATGTTATGTATATTGAAATATTGAATATTGTTTTATTTCATTGTAATATAATATGCATGTATGTATGATAAAGTTTGAGAATAAATGAAAAATTGTATTTTATACGTAAAATATTTTCTCTTTTAAATACCTCGAATATGTGATTTTATTTTATTACTCAGTCAAAAATTGGATAATTATTTTATTTTAAAATAATAATAGAGAGAGATTATATATGCACATATATAATTTACTTCAAAATATAAATACGATTTATTTTTAATAGTAATTATATCTATACTTTTTCATTTTTCGTTTATATTCATCTTTTCGAATAATCTTTTTAAAAGAGCATACAGATTATTAAAATAATATACGATTAACAAATAATAATCTACATTTTTATAAATAATTGATTTCAATATTATATTTGATTATCAATATTCCAATGCAACATACAAGATAATTAATAATTAAAAAAAAAAAAAGAAAAGGTATATAAAACCGTATCAAATATTGGTACGTATTGCAAAATAAAAATGATTTCGTTATTTCGTATAATAATATAATGCGCAAACGAGGAATTTGCTAACCGAAATAGAAACAAAATCGCGTCGTCATCATTTGTGCAATAAATTAAAGGAATGTCAAATACTTTAATATATTGTGTCACGCATTTTAAAAACAATATTTGATATATGGGTTGTGTGCTCGTAATTTTTCCCTTTATTACGAAATGAATACAACTAAGGTGAAAAAAAAAGTAAAACGGAAACGACATCGATACGAGAGATGCGTAAGGAATCTTGCGAAATCTTGCATACCGCAGTTTCGCACGAGATGGCAAAATAATTGGTGACAGTGAACCCTTTAAAAAGCTGGATCGAATCGTTGTTCATCACTTCAGTTCAACAGTTCGATCTCTAAACAGTAAAGAACATTCGAAAAGAAACATGCGTTTTACGATCGTTGGGTGCCTATTGACGGTGTTCTTGGCTAACGCTTTAGCCGGACCGATAAAAAAGATTTCTGAGAAGAAATCGTTGGTAGAAAATACGAAACTTGATAAGGAAGCACCAAAGATCGACGAAATTGGAACTGACAAGGATAGATCGAAGAAATCAACGACGACTTTCTGCGTTGAAATCCGACCAGGAAGCAACGAGCCTGTTCAGTGTTCGTGCAAAGATAAGGAAGCACATAATCAACATTTAGCTGCACAGCAAATACCTCAGGCAATTTCTTACGCAGCAACTCAGCCAGCTCAATTACAACCAGCCAGTCCACCTCATAGCGTGAACATTATTCATGCACCAGCTCAGCCACCACAAACTTTGAACATCATCCAACCAGCGCCAACTCTACACGCCGTACAATTCCTCCAACCACAATCACCTCAAGGCCCATCAAGCGTTCAAACTCTTAACTTTTTGCAACCATCCGTTCATAAGTCTGAACCATATCATCAGACTATTAACTTTGGGGCACCATCTCACGAAGAAGAAAAACCATCCAATCCTATTCAATATGAAAAAATCATTGAATTTCCTTCCGAGCCTACACCTAATCCAGCTCCAGAACCGATTAATGAAAAAGTTGTTCCTGAATCAACTCCTCAACCAGCTCCCGAAGTAATAGTCGTTCCTCAACCAGCTCCCGAAGTAGTAATCATTCCTCAGCCAGCTCCTCAGCCAACTCCCGAACCAATTCCTACAATACTCCCTCAACCAACTCCTCAACCCGAGCATACCGATAGTGCTCACAAATCGGAAGTTCACGTTTCGGTAACGACAGAAGATAAGAAGAATCAAGAAGAACACAAATCTCAACCAGAATCTTTCCAAATTCCAGTCGAACCAGCTCACGTGTTACCATATGATCAGAAACCTCAATCATACCAAGAACAAGTTGTAGTCGTACCTAATCCTATTTTAGTAGAACACCAAGAAAACTGTCCTGCTGCTTTCATCCAAATACCATCGATTCGATATCAACCATCGGAATCGGTCATCCAGTTTCCAGGATCATCTTACCAACCAGCAGGATCATCTTTTCAACAAGCAGGACAATTCCAAACTGAGTGCAGTTGCAAACAAACACGCCCAATAAATTCAAATCTTCATCTAGCTAACCCATCTTCCTCATTAAGACATCATCATGATAAGAACCCACAGATTGTCCCAATGGTCATCTATCCTCCTCCTATCCCAACCATTAGTCCAGCACCATTATTAGGTGGTCATCAATCGCATGCACCCTACCACGGTATGGTTTCTCTTTCTGGTCAACCATCTGGCCAGCCACCATTGGTCATCAGTATGCAATCGATTAGAAACAAGGAGGGTATGCAAGAAAAAATGGTAAGTAACTGATTAATTCAATTCCAAAACTATTCAACTATTCATTCTCAATGTTCATCATAATAATTTAATCATTTTATTTCTTAGACTGATATGACTGGTATGACTGGTATGACCGATATGACTGGTATGACAGCTCGTAATCATGATCAAACTTCTAACACGTTGAATAATATTAACTCTGAAGTACAACCCAAGGATTTTAATCGTCAAACCATGACGGGTCTTGAAAATCGAAACGGACAACATGACAAGGAAATGGGCCCGATGATGAACGAAGTCACCAGACCGAGATACATCAGGGACGATAAGAATGCCAAAATTATCGACACATCGGTGGAAACGAAAAAAATCAACGAAAAAAGTTCATCGATTAAGAAAGATTAATTTTGAAAAGCCACGACGACGAATCAACATTTTACATTGACTTGGATTATTACTTCGAAATGTGCCATTCCAATAATTTGCTTTTATCTAATTTTTCTAATCCTTATTTCAGTATCGTCGTTTTTAATATTACGATCGATAAGATGTACAAATAAATTATAATAATATACACAAATGTATTATGATCTCACCTCTTTGAAATTAGTGTACCCATCCCGTGAATTTTCTTTTTTTTTTTTTTTTTTTTCAGCATGTTCAACAATTTGATTTCTTCCCTTTTCCTTTTTATTATAACATAATCGCAAACGCTTTACCTTCGATCAAAATAAACGAAACATTTAAATCAAATNTTTTATCTAATTTTTCTAATCCTTATTTCAGTATCGTCGTTTTTAATATTACGATCGATAAGATGTACAAATAAATTATAATAATATACACAAATTTATTATTATCTCACCTAATTGAGATTAGTGTAGTCATCACGAGATTATGATTTTTTTTTTTTTTTTTTTTTTTTTTTTATATTCAACAATTTGATTTCTTCCCTTTTCCTTTTTATTATAACATAATCGCAAACGCTTTACCTTCGATCAAAATAAACGAAACATTTAAATCAAATTTTAAAAAAGGTTAAGAATTTCTATTAGATTTCAACGAGCGTTCCAAAAATATTTCAATTTAATAATCTAATAAAATATCGAGTGTGTTAATCGATATTTTTAATTAAGCTCCGTACACGCATATGCAATCGTGAGGATTTTCATTAGTCAAAAAAAAAAAAAAAAACAATTTTGTTATATCCGATATGATAAAACTTTTTACTAATAAAATGTTCGCGTGAATTTTCAATATTTATCTTGAAACTTAATCATTGTTAGTTTAATTCGAATTATCTCGTTTACTTCGATATTAATCCAACGATTAGTATAATTAATAAGCGTTACACCTGATCGATCGTAATTCGTATTTTCGTTTTATTTTTGTTATAAACATAAAAAATAATATTAAAAAATACTACGACGACGATATTTTACGAGTTCAGTTTGATTGATTTATTTGGTCGGTAGGAAGATATGGAGAAAATATTAAACAAATTAAACAAAGTTGAATTAAATTGTTAGGCAGAGTGAAACGTATTCTCTGATGCGAATATAAGCTGGTACTTATTCGACCTAAGTATGCATGGCATTTATCTAACTTTAGCCGTAATATCTTGGAATCCGCAATAATAACTGCACGAGTACTTGACATAATATATGATATTATTATTTATAAAATATAGTGATTATAAAATAATTTTCTTCATTTCTAACTAATTATCATTTGATTTTTTATTATCTTGCTATATATGTATAGCATACTTATTGTATGCTTGTATCATTACCTTCGTTTAATCTCAACTCTATAATGCATAAAGGAATGTGTGTAAATGGGATTTCACGTAGATAAGCTCTTTACATGGAATATATAATATATATAATAGTAGGTGTGTATCTCAGATAGATAGAGAGAGAGAGAGAGAGAGAGAGAACGTACGATGGTTCACAAATTGTTGAGAAATTCAAGCTATTATCGTAATTCTGTTGTATGCTATTAACTCGCGTTAATCTTTCATTGGAAGGGCTCCAATTCTCAATCGTAAATAATCCTTTTCTACGATGGCAAACGTTAATAAAAATAAAGGAAGATAAAGTTAGAGAGGGAAATAAATAATATTAATTAAAAAGAAGAAAAGAAGTGTGTGTAAATTAAACAATTTATATTGCAAACATTGCTCACCAATGAGTAATAAAAATAAATAAATAAATAAAGAAAAGAAAAGGTTGTAACACTCGAAAGATGCTGTTATTAATCGATATATATATTTATTATTTTTGCGATAGATATAACATTTAAGACGAGTACCATCTTAGATGGCAAAGCGTTAAAAAGTCAAACGATCACGACCAACTATCATTTTTCATGTTTCGTGTCATTGCGTTTTTTTTTTTTTTTTTTTTTTTTTTTTTTTTTTTTTTTTTTTTTGACAAGAAAGAAAGAGACGACACGTCGAGTGTCATCCGAAAAATGGCGAGTACGATATTGTGGAATAGAATTTTTTTTCTTTAAATGTTGTCTACTGGATTGAACTCTAACAGAGTACAATAAGAGAGGAGAAGAAGAAAGTGAATGAAGAAAAGGAGGAAGGTGAAGGTGAAGGTAGAGGAGGAGGAGGAGGAGGAGGAGCAAAAGGGAATGAAGAAAAGAATTGGAAAGGAAATCTAAGATGAACAAATTCTTATATCAAATGTAATACATCTTTTTTAAAATATAATCTAGAAGAAGAGTTTAAAGGAAGATCTAGTCAAATATTAAACAAAATTGAAAATAAAAATTCACCCCCCCGAAACTATGAATGATTGGACAACGTCATATTGTAAAAAGAACAAATATTCTTCGATCGATATAACGGAAGGATATCGACGATGTTTTCCTTCCTCTGTGTAAGATTATTTTCTTCCATCATTTTATATTTCTTGTTTTTCTTTGCGAGAGATCGTTTATTTTTCTATATATGTATATATATATTTTCATTCTTTGTTCGCGTTTTTAATATTATTTCTTTTATCATCTCGAAGGAAGGAACAAAAAATTAAAAAATAAAAGAGACGATTCGATCGAATGGGAAGATTGTAAAAATTGCATTTTTTTACGAGTAATTACAATTACAAATTATTAATATATATATATATATATATCGCGAGAACAACGCGAGATTATTTTTAATATTGAATATAATTTGTTTTTTAATTAAATTGTGTAACTATATACAATGGGGAATTTTTGATTGTTTTTTTTTCGGTTGCATTATAAAACTTTCTTCATCGTATTTTGTAATCTCGTCGAACGTATTTCGCCTAAGGGGGCTTCTTACGTGAAAGCTATGATAGAAATGGTTTCGAATCGACAAGATTGTATCGATCGTCCAGCAAAAATTCAATAAATTTCATCAATTTTTCCTTTGCTTGTCGTAGATATTGCTCGGAACGTTTCAATTTGTGTTACTACTCATGGTAACCGGTATCTTGTTATCTCTTGCCATCGTTTCTCGTTTAATGGAGATTATTATTACACTGATACATCCTACTAGCATCTTCTTATTACGGCAGTCAGTAAAATTATTCGTTGTGAGTATACGATTTGTTTTGAAATATAATAGAATACTTTAAGTATTTACTTATTTATCTATAGAATAAACTTGTGCATTTTGCTTGTGTGTTTAAGGGAGATAAAATTTCGATAAAAATATTATTTGAAATATTTGTTAATTAAAATATCGTAATATATAAATAATTACAATATCATTATTGTATTATTTTTTACTTAATAATTTGTTTTTACCATTAAAACAAATCATTAATCAAATAACTAGAGTCGTATATATATATTTCAAATATATTTCCTTTCATCTTTTTCCGAATGAAATTTTATCTATATTAAAAATAATGAAAGTACGATTCATACGGGACGGGGAAACAATCGATCCAGTGTAAAAAGGGTCCAATACATGCCGTTTTAATTAAGAGAACACATTCATTAATTAATTTATCCACGTACGTTAATTTTTCAAATGATTCGTACGAATTACTCCACCATGTCATTTTATATGGGTTTTTCGACAATGCCGTACACGAGAGTAATGTAATTTGATAATCTTGTAAATTGTGATCCGCGTACTACGATTGCAACAAGTTAATGTTCGATTCATGACAACAATTCGATAATTAGTTCGTTCGTTCGTTCGTTCGTTCGTTAATTCGTTTGCATGCGAACGTATGAATGTTACGTAAAATATTTTATTGAATTAAAAAAAAAAAAAAAATAATACCTAGCAAATTTGTTCCTCCAATTAAGAGAGATCATGTTAAAAATAAAAATTAAATAAAAACCTCGATGTGTGTTATGTGTTAAAACAATTTATCCTTCTATTATCAAAATCAATCAAACGTAAAAATGATTATTATATTTAGAAGAAATATTTTTGAATCGTATAAAATTATAATTTGATATTCGAAAAAAAAAGGCAGGGCTTTCGAGCCCTATGCCTAGTTAATTTTTAATACTTGGAAATGTGCAGTTAATAACGAGCCTGTCAGCAAGGATGACTGGATATGTTTGGTGCAAAACAATCAGAAGAATTAATTCTGGCGTTCCTCACGAGGACAACAAAGAAGTCATCGGAATCAATATAACTGCACCGGAAATTCCCTACATGACAACCTCTTATTCCTACATGGATCATGTCCACAAGAAACCATTAGAGTTAAATGTCTTGAACAATGACCAACTTCCATCCGATTTGGCAAGTAATGGTCAAGAATCTACGATCGATTCTAAGAAAGAAACTACTTCTAGTTTCAAAGAAGACGAAGCTGCCTGAGAGATTCCATTGGGATTTGAGAAAAAGGGTTACATGATTTTGTCCTACGTGTTCGAGAAAGAAAGAGAGAGAGAGAGAGAGAGAGAAAAGGAAACAAGAAATTCTAGAATGTAAGATATGTTCCACATCATAGTGGAACAAAAATATCCTGGTTGATGGAACCATTTAAATTCATTTAGTTATTTGTTATAAAGTTTTTTGTAGACATTTTTTTTATTATTATTATTTAACCTGACGATTGTAAATTTTCTTAGATAAATGAACAAAGTTTTGGAACGAACGTTTAAAGAATTTGTTCTTTTATTTTCTTTTTTTTTTTTTAATCGACCATATGAAATTCAATATTAATAAAGAAAATTAAATAAAAAACAAAAGGAAGCATTATCTTAAATTTTCATTCTCTACGTAAGATTGTGACATCTTTAGCAAACACCACCTTTAAAACCAAGCATTTTATTCTTCTTTGCCGAACTTGGAAACGTTAAAACGGAGGGGTTGGTCTTTGTTATCGATTCGAATTATTTTGCAAAAGTAGTAACAACGGCAAAAGCAAGCGACTCTTGGCGCTTGCCAATAAGATTTAAAGCGATGAAAAGTTTGGAGGATTTTCGAGAGAAAACGTAATTAAAGTTACTAATTTTAACCTCTTAATCGTTGGACTTCGTGGCACTGAGATTATTTCACAAATTTGAATAAACATGATTCAATATTATATTTTAATCTCTATTTCAAATGTGATTTAATAAGGAGTTTCTTAATATT